ACAATCAAGTTTATTCTCTAAAGGATTTCAATGCGGGGTTTTCAGATTTTTGGTTATTGTGTGATTTCATGTAATAAAATACAATTACAGAAGGGGCCACTAGGACACCTAGCATGGCTAGGCATTTGGGGGAGATTAGATTAATTCTTTTAACCCCAAATTAATTTCAAAAAGGGGTAATTTAAATATTAAGTGCTAAATTTTTAATTTCAAAAGATGCTTCTTTTTGGAAAAAACTATTTTAAAATGGGATACAGGCAAATTATGGGCTATTTTAAAAACATTATTTTAGATTAGATTCGTATTTCTGTGCTTTTTTAGTCAAATGGGGAGTGAATGGAGCGTAAGTGTGAACCCCCAAGGTTTGGTTTTTCATGTAGTTGTTGACGGGGTGTAAAGGGAATAAAAAGTTTTCAACTGAGTTTTGAATAGGAATGGTCTGAGTTCTAGGTTTTTGGTGGGGAGATTTTTGGGTTTCAACCTGAATTTTTTAAAAGGGGTCGGACAGGGGAAGTAGAATTGTTTGGTCTGTGTTTGGTGTTGTTAAAAAAATAAGTTTTGGGTTTTTTTGGGATTTTAAGGCTGAAGAGATTGCCGTAGAAAGGGGGTTTTCTGCGGGAGAGTTTTTCTTGGAAAAGGGGGGGGGGGGTTTTGCAATATTAAGGGAATTTTTCCCTTTTTTGTAGTTTTTTATTTTTTGGGTTTTTAGGTCCCCCAAAAAGTAATTGGGGAAATTGAAAAGTGTAAAGGGTTTTTGGGGATGTGTTGACGGAGGGGGAATAAGTTTGGGTATTTTTTTTTTGGGGGTGGTGGGGGGGGGAGGTTTGGGGCCAGGAAACCCTCTTTTGGGGATTAAGTGTTTATTTTTATTTTGCCCCCCCCTTTTAATTGAGGGTTTTTATGTTTTTTAGGGTGTCCCTGATCGTTTAGTTGGGGTCCAAAACCTTTAGTCTACGTCATAAGCTCAGCTCGCTCTGATAACCTGTGAGTGGTACATTTGGGCCCTTTAGATATGAGAGAATACTTATGTGGTATGTGTGCACCACATAAAACAGATCTGCAGCACACTGTGTATAATGAGAAAAAAAAACTGAAATCATGATTTTTCAATTAAAACAGCGATTTTGCAGTGTTTTTCATTATGTTTTTTATAGTTGTATTGCGATTTTTTGGGTCTCATTTGATAGAATGGAAGACATATTACAGAAATAGAGATGATTTTGATTGGGTTTTTAGCACTGGAAATGGCTTGAAACTGAGCTCAAAGTAGCAGAAATGTTAAATTTTTGCCGATATTCAAGAGTAAACAAACGACCTCACACGTTAATACACGTCAGTGGTGGGTCTAATATGCATTTCACAAATAGGGTGATGATATTTATACAATTATTACAGTATTGCATAACAGTAAATCTTCTTTTTTTTTGGTGTGAAAAAATTCATTATGTGAATAAAAAATCAAAATGGAATTTTTTTGTAAAGCCTCAAAACGAAACCCTAATGAACAGAGGAAATGTTAGTTTAGTTCCAGGAATACCTACATTGTTTATTCTGGACCCTATTTTGAAATTGGGAATATTTTGAACTTTTTGTTAAATTGGCCAAATTAACAATTTCCGATCACTTTTAATTTGTATTGAAAAAGTTGACTTGGCGATTTCTTATGCTCAATCGATAGAATAGAAGTAATACTAGTGAAATAGCTAACAATTTGGTTGACTGGAATAATGTAATTGGCCTAAAATGGGAGTCAAATTCAGCAAAATCCCGATTCGTAAATATCGCTGACACATCAAATTCGCGAGAGCATAATTTCGTCAATTTTCCATCAAATTTCGTACTTTTTGTTATTACCTTCACAAAAAGATTCTCTACCATTTCATAAGAAAAAATAAACAAATTTTTTTTTTTTTTTGAAAATTCTTGGACACTGGGGCACCACTTCAGATTTGGGCCTTGGACCCTGAAGGGGTTAAGTGTAAGTTTATTGGCTGTCATCCAAGTCAATATTTTGAGCAGCTCCTTGTTAACAATGGTGTTGAGGGTGGCAAGATTAGGGGGAGAGATGACATAAGTCGTGTCGTCAACAAAGAGATTGGGTTTCGGGTGTTGGGAAGATCATTGATGTAAAATTGAGGAAGAGCAGGGGTCCAAGACACTTCCTTGCAGAACTCCAGTATCAAGTGGCCGTGTTGATGATACTGGGGTCTTTAATGGTGACATACTGATACCTATTAGTAAGGTAGGATTTGAAATATGCAAGCGCATGGCCTCTTAAAACCATAATGGTAAAGTTTGGGGAGTAGAATGGCCATGGTCTACTCTGTCAAAAGCTTTTCTTAGGTCAATAAAAGTTCCTAGCGGATATTCCTTATTTTCCAATTCTGTGTAAAGCGGGGTCTAGCATTTTTACAATTGCACATTAATGCTTTTATTTTCCTGAATCCAAATTGGCAGGGGTTGAGTATGTTTTGTGACGTTATAAATGAATTAGTCTCCTGTGAAAGAGTTTCTCGAAGATTTTGGATAGCAATGGTAAGTTTTATATTGGCCTATATTTTGTTTAGTCTGTGGTTCACCACCTTTATTGTATTGGGGGTTAAACCCTTGCTGTCTTGAGTAGTTTCGGGGGTGCTAGTTTCTAGTTACTCTGTAAAAGTAATGAAATAGCATGCGAAAAGGACATGGGCCGCTTGCTTGTACAATAATGGTGGGACATGAGACAGATTCCCTGAGCTATTTTTAAAGTGACTTTTAATCTCGGTGACTTCGGTGGCTCAGTTTGGTACAAGATAGAAGGAATTTGGGAAATTCCCATCTTGGTAGTCCCCGGCATGGGCATTGGTACGTGGGATTTTACTGGCGAGATTAGATCCTATGTTTGAGAAGAAGTCGTTTATCTTTTTTAGCTGTACAGTGGGATGCAGTGGTGTTTCATGAGGTTTAGTTGGGACAATATTCTTGGTTTTTTTTCAGTTTTGTGGGTTCCCCAGAACTGGGAAAGTGTTTTCCAGGTCTTTTTTATATCTCCTCTTGTGTCAGTGAATCTGCTGGAGTAGAAACAGTTGTAAAATAATATGATCTGGCTTACTTTTTCCCATAAAATGCAATTACAATATCGATTAAAGTGTGATAATTTACACATTTTAGCAAAAAAATGAGGGATGTCAGATAAACTAATCCTAAATCCTACTTTACTCCAGTATTAAATTTTAGTCTAACTCTCTTTTCCCATTCCCTCCCTCTCTACTCGGCAGCAGTCTTTATGTGGACTGTGAAGTATTCTGGTATATGCTGCTCTTTATAGTGCAACAGTACGTTCAGTGATTTTCTTTCATAAAGTTCATTCACTGAATGACTAAGCTACCACAAGATTGTAACATCACATAATGCTAATTTTATATAAAAAAAAAAATTCTTTTGACAAGGTTTATAAATCAAATAAAAATGCTCTTCATTTTGGGAACATACTCAAACGTCATGCACAAATGTCACCCATCTCTGTACAAACATTGCATCATGCTGAAATAAAATAATAATTTTTTTTTTATTAACACAACTGGCCGATTCCCACCAAGGCAGGGTGGCCCCAAAAAGAAAAAACTTTTCACCACATTCACTCCATCACTGTCTTTCCAGAAGGGTGCTTTACACTAAGTTTTTTAAACTTATCTCCGACAACTATTGCTAACTTCTGGCCCAACTCTAAGGCATGACCGACTGCCCTGGTGGGTCCAACATATCAGTGACAATGCCTCCATTTGCTGCACCTCATCTGATGCCAGTATATAAGGGGTTATCTTCCTGCCCGTGCTTCAGATTCATCAAGACTATGGTGCTCAATACCTGCTCCTAGACTGATTACCTCCTCTTCTACTGTCTTCTGTATAATTCTATAAGGTTGAGGACTGATTACCCCCTCTTCTACTGTCTTCTGTATTTAATTCTATAAGGTTGAGGGACTGATTACCTCCTCTTCTACTGTTTCTGTTTTTAAATTTTATAAGGTTGAGAGACTGATTACCTCCTCTTTTACTGTCTTCTGTATAATTCTATAAGGTTGAGGGACTGATTACCTACTCTTCTACTGTCTTCTGTATAATTCTTTAAGGTTGAGGACTGATTACCTCTTCTTCTACTGTTCTTCTGTATAATTCTATAAGGTGAGGACTGATTACCTCTTCTTCTACTGTCTTCTGTATAATTCTATAAGGTTGAGGGATGATTACCTCTTCTTCTATGTTTTCTGTATAAATTTTATAAGGTTGAGGGACTGATTACCTCCTCTTCTACTGTCTTCTGTTATAATTCTATAAGGTTGAGGGATGATTACCTCCTCTTCTACTGTCTTCTGTATAATTCTATAAGGTTGAGGGACTGATTACCTCCTCTTCTACTGTCTTCTGTATAATTCTATAAGGTTGAGGGACTGATTACCTCCTCTTCTACTGTCTTCTGTATAATTCTATAAGGTTGAGGACTGATTACCTCCTCTTCTAAATGTCTTCTGTTATAATTCTATAAGGTTGAGGGACTGATTACCTCTTCTTCTACTGTCTTCTGTATAATTCTATAAGGTTGAGGGACTGATTACCTCCTCTTCTACTGTCTTCTGTATAATTCTATAAGGTTGAGGGACTGATTACCTCCTCTTCTACTGTCTTCTGTATAATTCTATAAGGTTGAAGGGACTGATTACCTCCTCTTCTACTGTCTTCTGTAAAAATTCTATAAGATTGAGGGACTGATTACCTCCTCTTTACTGTCTTCTGCATATAACTCAGTGATTTTGAAGAATTACCTTGTCTTCCACTGTCTTCTGTATATAATTCTGAGGCTGAGAACTGATTACCTCTTCTACAGTCTTTTGTTTACATTCTTTTATTGTATTCATAAAGCCACTTCATGATGTAACATCTACAAAGCAAAGATATCCAGTTGTCGCACATGTCTCATTCATCAAACTGAGTGACAGTACAGCACGAGTAATTCATATTCACTTTACCTGCTTTAGTATCATATGCATCTACAGAACACTGTACAACACGATGTCGTCCAAATCCACCAAGTATGTAGATGACAGAGTCTATGACACACACCATAAAATGTCGTCGAGGTTGCGGCAACCTGAAACAGAATGTAATATAGTGTAATGTATCTGATAATACTACTAAATTTAAAAAGAAACCCAAATAACCCGCACATAAAAGACAGAAGCTTACGACGACGTTTCGGTCCGACTTGGACCATTGACAAAGTCACACTAACAGAGAAGGAGCAGGACGGCTATATATAGGCAGGAAGAGGTGGAGGTAGTAGTAGTGGTAGTAGTAGTAGTAGTAGTAGTACAAGAATTGTATATAATACCGACAGGATGAAATGACACACGCACAACACCCGGGCATCCCCACCGTAGACGCCTCGCCATCCAGCCAGCCACTGGATGGCGAAACGTCCACAACAAAGACAACCAGACGCCGCACATGTGTCTAATTTCATCAGTAGTGTGGACTTTGTCAATGGTCCAAGTTGGACCGAAACGTCGTCGTAAGCTTCTGTCTTTTATGTGCGGGTTATTTGAGTATCGTTCCAGTCACGGTATTGTGCCTTTTTGTTATTTAAAAAGAAACCCTTTTGTTTTTCTTTTTAGGTCACCCTGCCACGGTGGGATACCTGGAGTTTACCTGGAGAGAGTTCCGGGGGTCAAATGCCCCCCCGGCCCGGTCTGTGACCCGGCCTCCTGGTGGAAACAAGCCTGATCAACCAGGCTGTTACTGCTGGCTGCATGCAAACCAACACACGAGCCACAGCCCGGCTGGTCAGGAACCGACTCTAGGTGCTTGTCCAGTGCCAGCTTGAAGACTGCCAGGGGTCTTTTGGTAATCCCCCTTATGTTGGGGAGTCAGTTGAACATCTGGGGCCCCCCTGACACTTACTGTATGGCCACTTTTTGAAAAAATTTAAGAGGGGAAGGAGCCAAAGAATTGGCAGAGAGCATGCATGTTTCCTTTAAAAAAAGAAAAAGGGTAAAGGGGATTGTAAGAATTTTTTGGGGGTTTTTGTGAAAAAGGGGATTTAGACATCTGCAGGCATGTGTAAGTGTGTTGACAGGGCAAGTGGGGTTGAAGGGATTCAGGAAACCCGGGTTAACGGGCTTGAGTCCTGGAGATTGAAAGGCACGCCCCCTGCCCTGAAAAAGGGGATGGAGCTACTGCATTTTTGGCATCAAAATTGTGCAGTATATATATCCTCGGGGCAAGACAGTGCAGATGAAGATGGTGAAACGTTTCGTTTTTGGTCACCCCCCTTGGGGGGAAATGGCCAGTTTATTTTTAAATATATTTATTATATATATATATATATATATAATATTTTTATATTAATATATATTATTTTTTATATATATATAAAATTATAATATTTCGGCCAAAAATGGGGAGAACTTACGATCTTGGCTTAAATAGCAACGCTCTCTTGCCATATAGGAAAATAAAAATTTTGTAAAAGCAATAATTTCGCCAAAATCATTCTAAAAACAACGAAAAAAAATATTTGTTTGTTTTGTTTAGTACAAATTATTTTAAATGTATTTAAAATATATTTAGTTGGGGTTTGGCTAAAATAAGTTGCTCTTGTTAAATAAGGTTTGGTAAGTTTTCTAAATTCTTTGTGCCAAAAAATTAAACATTTTTTACATTAAGTTTTAAGAAAGAAAAAAATCTTTAAACGTATAAAAAAAAAAAAATTTTACAAAGGATTAATTTTAAATGATTCTTGCTAACGGGCCACTTTTTCTATTTGGGACAATATTATTATATATAATATATATATATATATATTATATATATATATATATTATATATATATAACATATAATGTATTAAATTTGGGGTAGGTTGGTAACGCAACCACCCAGGGATGTCTACCCTCCCGCCCAAATGAGGTTTACCCGGAGTTTTCCTGGAGAGAGTTCCGGGGGTCAACGCCCCGCAGCCCCTCTGTGCCAGGCCCTCCGGGGTATCAGACTGATAACCAGGCTTTTACTGCTGGATGCACGCAAACCAACTAGGCCACAGCCCCGGGTGGTCAGGTACCCACTTTAGGTGCTTGTTCGTGCAGCTTGAAGACTCCAGGGGGGCCCCGTTTGGGAATCCCCCCTTTTTTTTTTCTGGGGGGCAGTTTTAACAGTCTCGGGCCCCCGACATTATTGTATGGTCTCTTAACGTGCTAGGACACCCCTGCTTTTCATTGGGGGGGTGTTGCATGTCTGCCAATCTTTTGCTTTTTAGTGAGTGTTTTCGTGTGCAAGTCGGTATAGTCCCTCTAGGGTTTTCAGGTGTAATAATAGTATCTCTCCCCCCCGTTTCCGGGAATACAGGTTCAGGGAAACCCCAAGCGTCCCGTAATTTAGGTTTTTTATCTCCCTTAGCTCGCCGTGAAGGTCTCGTACATTTTCAGGTCACAATTTCACCTGCCCTTTAAGGTGTGTTAGTGGTACACGAAAACCCGTAATTGTTTTTTCATGATGGTAGGATTGCTGGTGTCTTTTGTCTGTCTCATAAAATGCAAGATTTCAGGTATGTCTTGCTACTTCTACTTGCATTTTGGGCACACTACACATACATTACAAGCATATATTATATACACAATCCCCCTGGGGGTTTTTTCTGTTTTCTTTCTAGTTTTTGTTCTTTATTATTTTCCCCTTACCCCCCAGGGAAAGTGGAACAGAATTCTTCTCGAAGATGCGTGTTGTAAAAGCGCTTAAAAGCCCGGGGGCAAGGGGGTAGTAACCCCCTTTCCCGTATTATTTATATTTTATTATCACACTGGCCCATTCCAAACAAGGCAGGGTGGCCGAAAAAAAAACTTTCCCAACATTCATCCATCACTGTCTTGCCAGAAGGGTGTTTTACCTACAGTTTTTAAACTGCAAATTTAAACACCCCCTTCAGAGTGCAGACACTGTACTTCCCATCTCCGGCCCAAAGTCCGGCCCCCGGGTTTTCCCCTGCCCCCCTTATAAATGTTACTTTGCTCACCCCCGCACGTCAAGTATTAAAAACCATTTGTCTCCATTCACTCCTATAAAACAGCTCACGCATGCCTGCGGGAAAGTCCAAGCCCCTCGACAAAAAACCCCCCTTTTTACCCCCCCCCTCCAACCTTTCCTAGGCCGCCCTCCCCGCCTTCCTTCCCACTACAGATGATACACTTTGAAATCACTCTTTTTTGCTCCTTCTCTTCATGTCCGAACCACCCAACAACCCCTTTCCCCAGCCCCCTGGACAAAAGTTTTGGTAATCCCCGCACCTCCTCCAATTCCAAAACGAATTCCGCATTATATTACACCACACATTTCCCCCAAATGACTCTCCACTGCCCCAGCCTTTCCTCGCTGCAACATTCATCACCATGTTCCCACCCATATAAAAGCGTTTGGGAAAACTTACTCTCTACTTCCCCCCTTTGCCCCCAAGGACAAAGTTCTTTGTCTCCACAGACTCCTAAGTGCCTGCTCACCTTTTCCCCTCATCAAAATTTTATGATTTACCTCATCTTTATAGACCTTCCCCTGAACGTCCACTCCCAAATATCTGAATAATTCCTCCTCCTACTCTCTCCCTCCAATCTGATATCCAATCTTTCAACTAATTTTTTATTACCTCATAAACCCACTCTTTACTTTATTCACTTTTAAATTTTTTTCTTTTGCACACCCTACCAAAATTTATCCACCAACCCTGCAAATTTTTTCTTCAGAATCTCCCCAAAGGGGACGTTCATCAGCAAAGAGCAACTGTGAAATCCCACTTTACGTGTGTTCTTTATCTTTTAACTCCACCCTCTCGCCAAAAACCCTCGCATTTACTTCTCTTAAACCCCATCATAAAATATTAAACAACCCGGTGAATCACCATCCTTTCTAAGTCCTACTTTCCTGGGAAATAATTTCCCTTTTTCCCTAGTACTCTAACTTAGCCTATTTCCTCAAAAAAAATTTTCACGCTTTCATAACCTCCCTCCTACCCCATACACCTGAAACATCTGAAATTTCCCCCCCCTATCCCCCCTGCCCATACCCCTTTTCCAAATCCATAAATCCACAAAGACCTCTTTCCCTTATCTAAATATGTTCACTTTATTTTTCACGAAAAACACCTGGTCACACCCCCCCTACCTTTCCTAAAACCCCCTTGTTCATCTGCTATCCTATTTTCCTCTTCTCTTAATTTTTTCAATAAAAACTCTACCATACACTTTACCAGTTACCAACAACTTATCCCCATAATTTTGCACTCTTTTTGTCCCCTTTTCCTTTTCAAAAGGGAAATGCATGCTCCTGCAATCCCTAGGTACTTTCCTTTTTCCATGCTTTATTAAATAATTGAAACCCAACCCCTCCCCAAAAAAATTCCCCCCCGCTTTTAACATTTTTTATCTTTATCCCATCAATCCTGGCTGCCCCTTTCCCCCCTTTTATTTTCCACTGCCTCACAAACTTCTCCCACACTCACAAAATCCTACAATGTTATTCCCCCTTGCCCAACCAAAATCACGCTTCCCCTATCTTCATCAACATTTTTAAAAATTCCTCAAAATATTTCCCCCCCATCTTCCCCAAAACCTCTAAATCCCTTTAAAACTTTCTCTCCCATTTTTAATGACAAATCCATTTGTTCTCTAGGCTTCCAAAAAATTTTTTAAATTTACTCCAAAACTTTTTCTTTTTTCAACAAAATTTTTTGTAAATCTCACCCCCTCCTTTATTTGCTCTCTTTTTACATTGCTTTACCACTCTCTTAACCTCTCTCTTTTTTCCATATACGTACTTTCCCTCCTTGCCCTCATTTACTTTGTAAAAAAATTTCAATGTACTTTTTTCCCTTACTACCTCTTTTACTCATCTTCCACCCAAACGTCCCCTTCCCTCCCGCACCCCCCTTTCCCCTAACCCCAAACTTTGCTGAACACTCAAACACTACATTTTTAAACCTACCCCATACCTCTTCGACCCCATTGCCTTGCTCTCATTAGCCCCTCATCCCCAATAGCTGTTTTTATCTTACCCTAACTGCCTCCCCTTTTAGTTTATAAACCTTCACCTCTCTCTTCCCTGATGCTTC